TTTCCCTAACCCGGTGAGCAAAGTGTTGTAAGTTACAACAGTGGGATTCAGCTGCATCTCCTTCATTTTCTTAAACATCTGCCATGCCTCGTCTACTCTATCAGCTTTGTAAAGGGTATTGATCAAGGAATTAATGACGATCACATCTGGTTCACACCCATTTTCCAACATCTCGGAAAGCAGCTTACTAGCCTCGTCTATCTCCCCAGCCTTGCTATAGCATTTCATCATCATGTTATAGGTTACTGAATCAGGAGTAAGGCCAATGTTTTTCAAACCAAAGAAGATTTGCTTCGCTTCTCGGAGCCTTCCTGCGTCAGCTAGACTGTAAAGGGAAGCATTGCAGGCAACAATGTTGGGAACTATCCCTCTGGCTTTCATCTTCTCAAAAGTCTCAAGAGCTCTGACAGAATCTCCAGCTTTTCCATAGTAATCTATGAAAAGTATGTATGTATAAGCAGTTGGTTCAACCCCCAAAGAATCCATATTATCGAAAATTTCCATTGCATCCTCCAACCTGTTTGCTCTTAAAAGCCCACAGATCAACGTGTTGTAAGTATGAAGATTTGGTGAGACACCTTGCTCCCTCATCGAATCCAATGTATTAAATGCTTCACCGAAATTCCCAACTTTGCACAGAGCATCCACGAGAATGGTGAAAGTAACTACATCAGGAGCATAACCATCCATCTCCATTTCAACCCAAAATCTTCTCACAGATTCCAGATCTCCACTGTCACTGAACTTATCGAGCATCGTAATGTAAGTTACACGATCGGGTTTGTGTCTTCCGGTTTTCATCTCTAGGAAAACATCCTTAGCACAGTCAAGCCTTCCAGCAGTACAAAGGGCATCGATAAGAACAGTGTAGGTGATCACATCAGGTCCACATCCTTCATCATCCATTCTCTTTAGTATTCCGTATGCCTCGTCGATCTTTCCAGCCCTTCCAAGTACACGGATGCATATGGTGAATGTGTAAACATTTGGTTTTAACCCTAAATTCTCCATCTCTTTCAATAAACCCATCACAGCTTCGATGTCCCTTCTCTTTCCTAATGCTCCCATAAGCGCGGAATAAGTCTGTAAGCTAGGCCTATGCCCTTCAGAGACCATTCTTCTATAAACCTCTAAAGCCTCAAGACAAAACCCAGATTTAAGAACAAAATGGATCAATCCGTTGTAAGAATACGCATTCAAAACAAACCCGGAATTTCTCATCTTCTGTAGTGCAAATGGAGCTAGGCGCAATCCACCCTTTACGCAGAGACACTTAAATATTGTCAAGAAAGTATTGACATCCCTCTTTATGATTCTTTTTTGCATCAAAACAAACACATGCACCATTTCCTCCACTTTTCCATGAACCCTCAGAACTTCAAGCATGTAATTGCACGTTTCAGTAGAGTGACAGAAATTCGGATTCTCATCCACCGATTTGAAGTATGAAAAGGCGGATTCTGCTTCCGGGAATGTCCTCAGAACCCTATAAACCTCATCCGGAGACAACTCAGCTCTCGGTTTCTTCCCCGCCATGGAAGAAATCGCAACCTCCACATGAGGTTTCGTCGAAAGCCTGCAACGATTCATGATATTCTTCCAATTCAACACATACCCGAATGGAAAAGCATTCAAAGTATGAATCTTCCACCCTTGTATGAAAAAATTTTCACTTCTCGAACGATTCACCTTCACCGGACCAACCAAATCATTGACCGTAATCCCACAATATGGACTCGTCGAGCAGGGCATCGACACAGCCATTCTGGGAAGAAAACAAGGGAGAACCAAACTCCGCTTTGAAATCTCTTACATGAACAACGAGCCGTGTCCTGTCCTCAAAATCTATGAGACGAAGCTGAAGCAAACAAGAGGATGAAGATGATCTTAGCCTTACAGTCCCCGTCCATTCTCCAGCGGGACACACGGTGGCTCCGAACTTCCGGCGAATCGGCGGTGAATAATGGATGAGATTTCCGCTTCTTCTCACTTGTGTTGCACGGCCTCCGCTGCTTTAGGATAATCCACCGAGTCTGTCACCGAGTTAGCCTCAGCTTCTTGCTTTCAGATTTTGTATTTTTCAGTTACCAAGAATCATTCGGCCCAACGTTAATGGGCCGGCCCTCTTCAAATTTATTCTACATCCTATTTTATTTTTAAAAAAATATATAAAATAAGAATTTTGTCCCAACCCTAAAATATAAAGTGTTAATTTTATAATATCAATTTATCCAAATCCAAACTTTAAAATGCGAATATTCCAATAACATTATCCGATGTGTGTGGTTGCATCAAATAACAAAAATTCGGGTTTTTGTGGCACACCCCTACCATTAATCGTCGGAAACGAGAATGAGACAGTAAAAAAATTGACATGGATACCCATATTAACTATATTTTTATTTTCCACGAAAACATTAATACCCCAATTGGAATTTGAACAAAATGGGTCCATTGGATTTGACTTGACATTGCCTTGTGAAAAATTTGCCCCGACCTATCACATCCATGTTTGATCATTTGTCGGATCTTAATTATACTTTGATTTATAATTTTGTCTATCTCCATGTACGTAATGTAACATTAATTTCCTAAAAAAAAGGACCAAAACAAAAGTAACTCGGCTCGAGAAGTTTTGACTTGGCGTCTAAATCACCATATCATATCAGTAAAATATAAAACCAATTTTAAATCCTAATATAATAAATATATCGACAATAAAAATCGCAGCAAATACCAAAAAACGATGACTAATTTAATGAAATAGAAAAGATATAATATCAAAACTAATCTTCCTTTATTACATATATTTTAAAATATTTCTTTTTTAACCTATTTTTTTATCTCATAATCATAACGATGTGAATTATATAATTAGTATGATTATCATATAATTTTAACGGTATGATCAATGTAATTCTAAAATAAATTAGGATAGTATATTAATCACACAAAAAATGATGTGAAAAGATATGATCTGAAATATATATAGCAAAGTAAATATATTTTTGATAATGTCCGATAGAAAGATGTGTATAATAAACGAACGATATAAAAATTTAAATCAAACTTTTTTTTACGGAATTTTGAACACGGAATTTTGGTTCTCTAACTTTTTTTTTTGGTGAAATGTGATTCGGTGAATTGTGTACGATACTTCTTACAAACTGTATTGGTAAAAGAGGTACAGACAAAAGTACAAAAGTTTACGGCGAAGATTCCTTCTAAACAATTAGGTTGTAAACTAATTAAGATTTAAATACGGTTTAATTAAGATTTAAGATATTTTTGTTATAAAGTTTTTTTTGCCTACAAAGTCAATGTTAGGAAGATGTAAATCCGACCAAACCGGAGCATCTAGATAACGAGGATTCAAAAAGTCAAAACCTCTCGGTTTCAAAAAGCAGGTTCCGTTGGGCCAACGACGACGCGAACGGGAAAACGGCGCGTCGTTTTCACGCCCTCACTATTACGGTCCCCGTTCCGCCAACTAAAGGGGACACACGTGGCGAGTTTTATTGGGAGATATGAAAGCGCGACTTTAACAGCTGTGGCCGACGCAGCAAGTTGATCGTCGTAGAGAATTGGCCGCAGTTAAAACCACGCGCGGTGGACACGCCGCGTGTCGACGCGCCTTCACGTGTCTCATCTCGTGTGCGTTCCTTGCGCTGGCGGCCTTATAGTTGAAGGCTCGGAACGAGGACTGTAATCAATTTTAATTATTTCTTAATCACATTTATAAATAAATGATTATTACTCTCTCCGTCTCCATATAAATGTTGCTTTAGAAATTACTTTTTATTTTTAAATAGTTATCATTTTAAATTTTTTAGGTGATTTTTAATTAAAATTTTCCAATTCTATCATTGATTAAAAATATCAAATTTCAATAAAGTATTAATGTGGATATAATTAATGTATATATGACTTTTTAAAATTTTCTTAAAAATGGTGACAAAACTTAAAACAATATTTATATTGATACGGAGGGAGGGAGTAGAATATTTTCCGAAGTACAATAACATTAATATTCCGAGGGGGTTTACCAAAGCTAATTTTAATTATTACATACAAGCTAATTAAAATATATTTTCCGACAATATAACGATAAATTTATTTTCCCTCAACAGTGTAAATCATATTCGAATCTCAATGTGGTGAAATATTTTTTAATTGCTTCCTGCATTATTAGAACTAATTAATCAGACATTGTATTTTATTTCTTTTAGTAATTTGGTTCGGGTTCAACATTAAACATACCTCTAAATAGTTTAATCAAATGTGGTATTTTTCAAAATATGACATAAAAACGTATATTAACGATTTCATTTTGTGTTATTTTTCAAAATATAATAAAGTAATTATTCAAACGCTAAACAAACGTTTTCTATAAAATTTACGCATAAAAGCTGGTACAAATAAATATTTAATAAGTGTATAGTTGTCTGAAACCAAGGTATTTATCTGAAGCATTCAAATTTCAAAGATTTCCTCTTCGAATGTGCATATGATATATATTTAAAGGGCTTATTAGAAATATATATAATTTAATTTGATGATCCATATTATATAGTATTATTACCAACCCGATTATATTCAAGAAAAGGAAAACGAGATAATCTTGGCGAAATTCGCAAAATATTTTACAACAAATCCTGCATTTAAAATTTAAAAATATCTAAAAAGGAAGCGATTACAATATCATTTGTCAATCCCGAAACTTAAGATATGTAAATCAACATCCCAAGCTGGCGAATTAAAAATACATTTGCCATGAGATTCCATGCCATTTCTTTACACTGTTCTTCTTTTATTTCTTATAATATCAGCATTTAAATATTTATAATCCTTTCTTTTGTAATATTTTTTTCCCTGCCAAAATCAGAGAGTAGGATTATAGCAGCGACAACCGCGTCAGACCCGAAGCAAATCATCATTCATCCCTTCCAGAGAGAGAGAGAGAGAGAGAGAGAGAGAGAGAGATTTGTATATAGAAAAGTAAGAAAAAGGATGAAACTTCATTGAGATTGGGGCAGAAGGAGGGAGAAGGAAGGGGGTGGAGGAGAATATCTTCGGCTTTTAAAGCATTGGCGGCGACAGATTCATCTCCTTCTTCTCTGTTCAAACGCCCACTCAACTTTTTCCCTCCCTCTCTCTCACTCTCTCTCTCTCTCTCTCTCTCTCTCTCTCTCTCTCTCTCTCTGTCACGCCATTAAGGGTTTGCTTTTTCTGCGTAGGTGATTATGATGACGGGATTTTCTTTCTGAGGGCTTGTTTTCCTGGAAAGTTCAGTGAAAAAAGTTGGGAACTTTATGGTTGGCTTCCAAGTTTTGTCGTGATCAATAAATGCTGATTTTTGGGCTGAGATGGGGAAAAAATGGGTGAAAAATCCCGGAGTTCGAGGAGCTGGGTTTTGGGAAGGATAGTGAGGCTGAGGCAAGACATGGGTTTGGTTTTTCTTGTCTCTCTTCGGGCAACCATCTCCATTAATGGTCTCTTTCTGCTCCAGCAGAGCTGAAGATAAGGAAGAAACCTTACCCCTTTTCTTCTCCCTCTCTCTCTCTCCCTAGTTTTGTGTAGTCGAAAAAATAAATTCCAAGAAAAAACAAGACTTGTTTTCTGGGTCTCCTGATTTCTGGGTTTCCTTGTTCTGTTTTGATTCTCCCTTGAAAAAAGGTGCAAAAAGCTCGAAGCTTTTTGGTATAAGCAGCTTCAGAGGAATTTTTGGTGTTTTCTTTATATATTTTCTTGGCGGAGGAGAAAAAGACAAAGGAAGATGAAGTTTATGAAGCTAGGATCGAAGCCTGACACATTTCAAGCTGATGGAAAATGCACCAGGTAAAAGAATATTTCATTTGTTTTTCTATTATGTATGTGTTCGATTTGTATACACGTATGTATCGCAATAGATAGATGAGTGACAAAATGATACTTTTCCTTCCCTGTGGATCGCATGTTTCTTCTGTTCGTTTGCCTTGTTCTGTTCTGTTCTGTTCTGTTCTGTTCTATTCACTGTCTGCACATGCTGAGCTCCTGTGCGGTTCTTGAACGGTTCTGCAATGTTTTCCTCCTTGTCTCTAACTCCCTTTGCGTCTATTTTCTGAAATAACACCATAACTTTCTTGTGTGTTGTCTGTATGTGTGCAAAGCTTTGATTTTTACTCTGTTTTGAAGTGATTTTCCCGAGAAAATTTCATGAAAGAGATGGCTTTTAGTTCTTATATCCTCTTTCCAGCGACGAGAAACACAAAACAGAGTTCATTAAACTAAGTGGGGAAGTTCATTTAACCTGTTGTCTTAATGTCCCAGTGGCTAACTATAACTGCCATGCTACTTTGGTTTTGAATTTATCAATTCGGTATCATAGATAAAATTGATCCCCGCCATCATTGTGATTGCTTTTGCTCATCATTCGTGTGTGTGGGGGAATACAGGAAAAAGGTGTAAGAGAAAAAGAAATGGGGCATCTGGGTTCCATGGCTGTGGTCCATCAGATTAACTGTCTTGTTTTCATGGTGTTGTGGTCCTTGTCTTGTTACAGAATATAAAAAAAAAAAGAAAAAGAAAAAAGAAAAGGCATGGCGATGTACATCTTTGAATCCAGAAAGAGAAGAATCTCTGTTCTTGTACAGATGCTTTGTTTCCTTCCTTATATATCAGCATGGCATTTTGTTCTGCATGTAACTTCTTGTCTGTGTTTTATCATAAGCTCTGTTAAGAATGCTGCAGAGAAATATTCTCAACCTCTTTCCAGCTTTCCAGGGCCTTGATTACTGTGTTTCGGTCTGTAATGGACAGTGAAAGTAAACCTGTCTCAATGGATGAATTTGAACAGAAAGACATATCTCTCTCTGTGTTCTGGTTCTGAAGGTTTCACAAAACTTTTGCTTAAACCTGCATTGTTGCACCGTGCTCTGTATTTTCCTGATCTGAAATGAAGCTTCATAATTGGCTCATCAATCTGTAGCTAGAGGCATCTTCTCCTTTGATTTTCGCTGCCGGGTTTTGTGTTATTGCATGTTCTTGATTTCCGGGATTAACACGTTTCCTTTCGTAGGCATGTTGTTTCAGATCTTGCTACCGATGCGACCATAATCGTCGGTGAAGTCAAGTTTTACCTCCACAAGGTATGTTTTTCGTAATCTTCACAGCAAAAAGTTTTACAGAATTTGCAGTAAAATGGTTTGAAGCTGAACATGTTGTTTTGCTTCAAATGTATACACAGTTCCCACTTCTGTCAAAGAGCAACAAGTTGCAGAAACTTGTTCACAAGGCAATAGATTATGATAACTCCGATGAAATCACCATATCAGACATTCCCGGTGGACCAAAAGCATTCGAGATCTGTGCTAAGTTTTGCTACGGGATGACGGTAATTCTCAACGCTTACAACGTAACAGCTGCTCGTTGTGCAGCTGAGTATCTTGAAATGACAGAAGATGTCGATCGAGGCAATCTTATCTACAAGATCGAGATTTTCCTCGAGGCAGGCATCTTCAGAAGCTGGAAAGATTCCATCATTGTCCTTCAGACGACGAAATCTCTTCTACCATGGTCTGAAGAGTTGAAGATTGTTGGAAGATGCATAGATTCCATCTCGGCGAAAACCTCAGTTGACCCTGAGATGATCACTTGGTCCTATACTCATAACCGGAAGTTATCTGCTCCGGATAAGATTGTCGAGTACAGGGAGAAGATGGAAAATGTTCCGGAAGATTGGTGGGTCGAAGACTTATGTGAACTGGAGATCGATATGTTCGAGCCGGTGATGAGTGCTGTGAAGTGTAAAGGAAGGATGAACAATGGCGTTATTGGGGAAGCTCTTAGATATTACATTGCTCGGTGGCTACCGGAATCTGTGGAGTCTGTAATGGCGGAATCTCGTGGAAACAAACATCTTGTCGAGACGATTGTTTTCTTGTTGCCTCGGCTAAATGGCAAAATCGACCACTGTTCTTGCAGCTTCTTGCTCAAACTTCTGAAAGTTGCAATCTTGGTCGAAGCTGATGACTCCGTTAAGGAAGAATTGGTACGGAATGTGGGTCTGAATCTACACGAGGCTTCCGTGAAGGATCTGCTGATCCATGAAGTCGATTTAGTCCATCGTATCGTTGATCTGTTCATAACAGATCAGAAACGTGACTCTGAAGACGATCGATACAAAGAGTTTGTTCTTGGAAATGGATTCTTGTTATCTGTCGGAAGACTCATAGATGCGTATCTGGCTGAGATTGCTCGTGATCCGGATCTCGATCTAACTAGCTTCATGGAGTTATCAGAGCTAATCCCAGAATCGGCGAGGCCAATCCACGATGGCCTTTACAAAGCCATAGACACATTCTTGAAGGTAAAAGATTTGATGATATTTCCATGGAGATTTCTGTTCATAGTCGATGATTCTGAAACTGGGTTTTTGCAGGAACATCCGGATTTGTCGAAACCCGAGAAGAAGAAGCTGTGTTTGCTAATGGACGTGAGAAAGCTAACAACAGAGGCATCAATGGACGCTGCCCAGAACGATCGTCTTCCTTTGCGTGTGGTCGTGCAAGTTCTCTACATTGAGCAGCTCCGTTCTCACGCAGCTGCAACAGAAGCTCCATCTTCAGACACCACCACGACGACGACGGCAACGGCAACAATAGCAACAGCATATGATCAGACAAAGAAGGTTGAGAATAATGTCGGAGGAGGAGGGGAAGGGGCGGGGAAGAAGCTGAGCAAGAAATGCAGAAGCAGCAAGAGCATGAGGAGCGGTGGGCCACAGCTGATGTCGTCACGGTCGAGGAGGATCTTCGAGAAGCTTTGGCCGGGAAAAGCAGAGAGCAGCAACAAGAGCTCGGAGGTTTCGTCCGGAAGTTCGCACAGTCCGACAGCTAAGTCTTCTGGTTCGTCCACTCGATGCCGGAGACACTCGATATCTTGATGATGATGTAAAGAGAAGGAGCCAAGTGGTTTTAGGGGTTTGGTGATTAGAAGCGATGGGTTGTGTTGTGTTCTCTGTTTTTCTTTTGTCTAATTTAATTCGAGGATTTTTTTTTTTTTTTTTTTTTTTTGTTTTGTTTGAAGTCATGTCTGAGATGGTGCATTGGTCTCTCTATCTGTAAAGGCCCAATTGGTTTAGTATTGCAGTTGTCTTTTTGAAATTCCTAAAATGCCATAGCAAATAAAGGGTATAGAGAAGAAAACAAATGATAAGACTATGTAAGTCGAAATATATCATAAAATATTATTTATATACATGGTATGAATTAAATAAGTAAATTTTAATTTTTTTAAAAAATAAATACGGTTTTCAAAATATCAAAACTTTTTAGGAATACTTGTAAAATTCAATAAGTTGGAAATTGAAAAAAGTTCATATTTTTAAAAATTTTAAATTTAAACTTCGTTTATTAATCAGTCTTGGAATCGTTAACAAATCCATATATCAATATGAGATTTGTTTAGGTTGAATAAATTTAATATTTGCGTATAAATGGATGTATTTATATTTGGTAATTTAGAATTTTGGTTGTTTTCTCTATTAATAATGAAAGATGTGTTATATAAATATTTAGTATATAGAAATTTAAACTTGAAAAACAAAGTCGGTGAATGTTTTTGGTAGAATAATTGTGATTTCTAACGTTTCTAATTAAAAAGATATATGGAATATCATTTTTCCTTACAATTATAAAAAAAACAAACAATAATACAAAATTATCCAATCTATTTAAAATTTTGTTTTAATATTAGATTTTTTAAAAACAAATAATGTTTTTTCGAATACTTACCCATTTACAATATTGGGCCTTATTATTTGGGGCCGAAGAGACCCAGAGATGAAGTTCCAAGGAATCAACCATCACTGGATTGATTGATCGGACGGTTCAGAATCATTCATCCTCGCCGAAACCCAAAACCCCAAGGCCGAAACCCTCTCCCGTCTCCCGTAGGCTGAATCGTGATCTTCAGCTAGCGAGGTAGAGAGAGATGCAGAAACTAAGCGCTTTGAGGAAAGCGAGAGAGTCTTTTCAATGGGTCCGATCCATTTCTCATGGACGAAGCTTCTCTGCTCTGCCAAACTATGCTCCCTCAACCGCAGATGTCGAAGAACAGGTTTTTGTTTTTCAATTTTGGACGTTTTTTTTTTAATCTGGGTTCGTTGGGTTTGACAACTATCAGTTTATCGGTGAAAATTTTCTCTTTTCGATCGGGCACACACAATTTGAGCGATTGGAATATGAGGAAATGTTCGTATTTATTGGGCATAGGCCTTAAGGTTCGAGCTGAGATATTTGTAGAGGAAAACATTCAGCCGAATTTCAGGGATTTGGGTACTTTTTCAAGTTACAGAACATTTATATGATCATTATAAGCCTCTGACTTGGAGATTTTTGAACACTCTCAGTGGCTAAGTATACAATTTGTGGTGTCTTTTTAGTTTCGAAAGAATTGCAAGTGTTGACGTTCCATGTACTTTTAGGTACTTGTGGAGGGAAGAGCTAAGACGCGAGCTGCTATTCTCAATAGATCCTCTTCTCTCAATGCTCTCACTGCTCCTATGGTAGTGTCTTCAGCACGCTGGTTTATCTTCTTATCATCTATTTTTGGATAGCAAACTTGGAACTTTTTTAAACCTGTGTGATGATTGATTTTTATTGTGCTTTCAACTCTTGGATTCTCAGGTTGTGCGGTTAAAGAAGCTATATGAATCATGGGAAGAAAACCCAGCTATTTCATTTGTATTGATGAAGGTGTAATACACTATGTCGCTCTTTAGAAAACCCTTTCTCGCTTTCCTTGAAGTCCTGTGTTCTTTTGAAGCCTGTGTATGCTACAACCTTCCTTGAATAAGCTACTGCTTTAATTTTTCCTGAAGGGTAATGGCAGAGCTTTCTGTTCCGGTGCAGATGTTCTCGCACTTTATCATTCGATCAATGAAGGTCTGTTCTTGTTACCCTTTTCCATGATCAAAGACTTGGAATGTTATTGTCATGATCAGCTCAAATCACTTCATGATTTCTCCTTTACTGAGAAACTTTTATTGTGGTTTGTATGTTGACAGTTAATTAAGTTACTGAGAGGAGTTGCTAATGTACTGAGATTTTTCTTTTTTTTCACAGGGAATGCTGAAGAATGTAAACATTTTTTTGAGAACTTGTACAAGTTTGCATACCTCCAAGGAACTTATTTAAAGCCACTTGTGAGATTGCTTACTTTTCTTTACTGACATATGTTCAAATTTTTAGCTATACCAAATACAATACCACTGAAAACTTGTGTGTGTCCATCAGAGGGTGACCTCTGGAGCTGTGCTCGTGTTTATTTCCCTCCCTGGTTTTGCTGCTACTCACTGTTAGGGGAAATTTTTCTACCTCCCTATGATTTTGTTAAATGGGTCAATGCCCTGAAAAGTGAGCCTTGAGCCGTGTCTCACAGAAGGCCATGTCATTAATTGCTAGTGCACATTCTGCTCAGAGTCACATATTATTGTCACTTTGGATATATGTTTCTTTAAACTTGTTTTGTAGTTTAGTTGTGTTATGTGAGAAAACAATGTGGAAGTTGTTGACTGCTCTATTACCTCTAAACTTTACTCATTCTGTAGGTGGCTATAATAGATGGTATTACAATGGGTTGTGGTGGTGGGGTTTCACTTCCAGGGATGTTTCGTGTTGCAACAGATAAAACCGTAAGTGCCTAGCTCTATTACTTAAGGCATTCATTTTATCCTTTACGTTTATTGATTTGTATGTTAGTTGGATACTGAAACAAGGAAAAAAAGAGAAAGAAATATCATCAAGTGGTTGCATAGATTCCACAGTCTATTTAAACTAAACGCTAAACCTCTAAACAGGTATTTGATGCCTCTTATCTCTATATGCTAAATAATCGTCTTGGTACTCGTTTATGAAAAAGATGAAACAGAAAGATTGTTGTACAAGATGCATTTGAAACTATTTCGTCTCTTTCTCCTGTCTTGGTGTGTGGTATCCAAGGGGATTTTGACCAATCATCCATAAAATATTCCAGGTTTTGTCTCATCCTGAGGTCCAAATGGGTTTTCATCCTGATGCCGGAGCTTCCTATTATCTTTCCCGACTTCCTGGTTACCTAGGTGAGCTTCAGCCATTTCTTGGTCGTTTGCTTGATTCATAATCTATCCGTGTCTGTTGTCAGGATGATGGGTTCTTATTCACATACAACTTTCAAGATGATGGACCTGAAATGTGAATTTCTCTTTTCTTTCAGGGGAATACTTGGCTCTAACTGGAGAGAAGCTTAATGGTGTTGAAATGATTGCTTGTGGGCTAGCAACGCACTATTGCTTAAATGAGGTCTGATTCATTTTCTTACCTGGTCTCATGTTCTACTTTTCCTTCTGAAGGATATGATTCCCTTATATGAAATACAATGGCAGAGACTCGCCTTAATGGAGGAGCGGATTGCTAACCTGATGAATGATGATCCTTCTGTCATTAAGGAGTCTCTTGCTCAATATGGTGACATTGTTTATCCGGACAGAAGCAGTATCCTTCACAAGTAAATGTTTTAACCTATGTCTCGAATTTTGGTCTTCTAAAGACTGTATCATTATTTCACTAATAATGTCTCGTCTTAGGATCGAGGTGATTGATAAATGTTTTGGCCTTGACACTGTTGAGGAAATCATCGAGGCCCTGGTGAGTGTTCTTTGCCTACATTACGAGCATTGATCTCTTTTTTTTTATATCTTTATTCAGACATTTATCTGTACTTTTTCGTAGAGTTTCTTCATGTTTTAAGTCTTAATGGTTTTGATTTTGGCTCAGGAAAACGAGGCTGTCACTTCCAGCAATGAATGGTGCAAAAGAACTCTTAGACAAATAAAAGAGGCTTCACCATTGAGCTTAAAGATTACACTACAATCCGTGAGTCCTTTTGTTTTCTTCTTTTTTCTTTGCTTCCTTAAAATATGTTTTCCATGATTCTGTCTGTTTCTTCTGTTCTTAGATACGAGAAGGTAGATTCCAAACTCTTGATCAGTGTCTTGTGCGTGAGTACCGTATGTCTCTTTGCGGAATCTCGAAGGTGGTCTCTGGTGATTTCTGTGAGGTACGATGCAACATCTGATTTCTCAACTGAAGTATCATTATCTCTAAATCGGGGAAAGAAAGGAAATCCACATAAGAAAGGCTGTTGTGCAGAACGTTTTAATTAAATGAAATATACAAATCTTTATCAAAAAAAGAAAAGAAAGGATGAGCAGTTGAACATTCTAGTTCCATATCTTTTTTTTTTTTGATAATCCGGAAGTTCACCGGGCCTTCTAATTCCATACTTATTCATAGTTTCCAGTCGTTAATCCTGCCTTTCCACGATATTATTCTGTTTTTGCAAGTTTTGGTACTTCTAGTTCAGCTATGTCATTAGCTTTCAAAGACTAAAACACAAATTTTCTGCTTATGTTGGTATGAATAGGGTATCCGAGCTCGGATGGTAGACATGGATTTTGCTCCAAAGGTACACAAACACAAACACTGTTTGCCTTAAACCAAACAAGCCAACTCTTTTTTTTTTTTTTTTGTAAATGTCATGTTCCAGTGCCTTGCCCATCTGAAAATTTCCGGGTATGTCCCCTTCTGAAACATGCAGTGGGATCCTCCTCGTCTAGAAGACGTGAGCGAAGACATGGTGGAATGCTACTTCTCCCCAGCCGGGGATTCTGATGATTCCGAGCTGAAGCTTCCGACCGCCCAAAGAGAACCTTACGTCTGACAAATAACTTCAGTTTTTGCAGGTTCAGTTCTAGCCCTTCAAGACATAAAATTGCTGCTCTTGATCTCTGTTTTTTTGGAATGCGGAAGATTTTTTTTTTTTGGTCATGACTGGGAGTGAGGGTCTGCTTGGAAACAGGTCAATTCATAAACTTTAACATGTTCCATCCTTTTTTAAAGCTTAAAATTGACACAGGGGCTAATGAACCATCAAGAACTTTAAAAACTGAACACAACAATTTATTTTCTTTTAGAGATTTCGTCTGGACCCAGAAACATAAGAGTTCGGGCTGTGTTCTACTAGGATCCCGATTCTGATAACACGAGTGTTTGGAAACTGAGAAAGAGCGAGAAAGCTCGAGAAAAATGATCAGAAAACAGAGGAGGAAGAACAGGGTCAGTCATGTTCTGTATGATTCAAGAACACTAGCAGAAAAGGCAGCGCCTTTCTAAAAGAGACCTCGGTTTCTTTCTCCAGCTCTCGCATCTCTCTTCCTGTTGCCTCGTCCGACAGTAGTTCATGTAGACTTCTTTCCAGTTCGTGAGAAGCGAGAGAACTGACTCCAAATCTCTCATATGTGACCTCTAATGAACAAGAACTGATAAGTCATGTACGAAACAGTAACCAGTTCTTTAACTTGAAATAGAACCGACCTTTAACAAAACCCATAGGCTATGGAATTGAATCACGAGCATGGATTTACACGTCATTGATGCTAAAGAGGCTTGCTTTCCCCTAAACAAAGAAAAAAGGCAAAGCTTTTTTGTGCATCAAACAGTTTCAGGAAAGATCCTACCGTTCTCGTTTGACGGAAAAAAAAGAAACAAATATGATTCCTTCGTGTAATCGAGTGCGTTCCAAGCTCCAAGACCATGCATACACTTCAGTGACTTCACATACTTGAGCAAGAAACTAGCATCACCCACCAAAAATCGCATCTTTTCTCGAAAGAAGAAGAAAGCACGAACTTCTTACCGGATCTGCCACTAGCTGGAGCTGGACTCTAGGGGTGTCAAAATAGCCCGAGGCCCGATACCCGGCCCGGCCCGTAGGCCCGATTAAAAAAATAAATTATATGTATAAATATATATGTATATAGGTAAATATAGATATACATATATATATTTCACACATATTTGATCATATATATATACATTTATTCAATCTTTTATATATATATATATATATATATATATATATTTTATAATGTATATACATATATAAAAAATATACAAATATTATATAATAATAGAAAGTTCTAAAAACTAAAAACTTGTTTAATACTAAATAATTCAGGATATAATATTTTCATAAATGATATAATCAAAATTATAATACTATTAGTTTCAAATACTTATTCCAAATGAAAAATATAATAAATTATCATTTTTAAAAATTTATTACCATATAAAATTAAAAAAATTTAAATTTAAATTTATATTAGATCAAAATATATAACTTTGTAATCTATTTTTTATTTTTTTAATTATTACTAAAATTTTTTGTATTTTTATTATTTTAATTTGTTTATAATTTTTTAAAAAAATTTTAAGCCCGAAACCCGGCCCGAACCCGAAAAAAGCCCATAGGGCCGGGCTCCGGGCCGAAGATTTTAGGCCCGTTGGTTTTTCGGGCCGGGCCAGCCCGACCCGTAAATATTCGGGCTTGTGTCGGGCTCGGCCCGGCCCGGTGATTTTGACACCCCTACTGGACTCAATGGAAAAACCTTCGTTCAGGCATTTCGTCGAACATGTGATGGGGCCGAAACTTCATCTTCTTCTTTTTTTTTTTTTGTTAACCAACTTCATCTTCTTCTCCGTCCTCTACCTCTTTCCTGTTCACCTTCGCACTCTTATACCCAAACAGCCACCGGGTGACAAGCCCTCGCGGCGTATATCACACCACCACCCGTCGATGTTCCTCCACCTAGACCGCCCACGACCTCCCGTCCGAGATAGAACGGCTCAAAACGATCCTGCGTCAGCTGAAGAATTCTGGGTCGCAAAAGCGAAAGGGATAAATAAAGGCGGAGAAGACCCATCAAGGAGGGATAGAGAATTCGATTCATTGATAACGGTGGGACTGAGCGAGAGAGCGAGGAGCAGCTGGGGCGAAAATTGATTGTGCCTGTTTGGAGGGAAATTGATTTGAACGTTCCTATCCGTGGGTGTCAAATTTGGCACAAGGTACGAAGTTCAGTCCGGTCCGTTCTATCTCGAAAAATAACGGTTTTTAGATTGAGATATTTAGTATTTACGCCTGAAAATTTTTAGACTTTCAGATCGGATTTAGATCAAGATTTGGTCAATTGAAAGCCAGATTTTTTTTAAAATGTAATAAAAACAATAAATTTAAAAGAGTAAATTAGCGGTTCGATTCGGTTCGGTTTGATTCGAACCCAAACACGAAGCCTATAAAACGAAATTTGGGATTTAGTTATTTAGGTCCGAAAAAAATCGGTCGGCCTCAATTTGAACTCGAAACTCTCAGACCGAGTATGAGTTCGCTCTCATCCATTCAATGTTTTCCACACCAAAAAAAAAAGCGTAGTAGATATAAAATTTATATATTGAGGAGTTCACATATTTACAGGAAAAAAAAAAGATCCATTCCCATTTAAAAGGCTTTAAATATCAAAAAAGAAAAAATAAATGTAAATATCAAGTATTTAAGATCATAAGATCCTGCAAAATTTTGAAGACTAGCTATAGAAATATAAATTACAACAAATAGTTATTATTTTGTGAAAGGGTTAATGATATATGACAAAAGTAGTAATCTATGTATTTTCCTGAGATTATGCTATGTGATGATAACCGCTTTGATAAGTGCTCTTGATTACGTTATTTCAACGGACTTTATCTTATATCAAAACCATATCATATGTTGTTGCCATGCATCGTTATTAAGATCGGTCTAAGAAAATGATTAGAAAAACACCCTTTGAAACTGTCATGTCAACGCTTTATCAAAAATGTCATTATCCGATTATAATTATCACTTAATCCAAATGTGTACTATATGATCCGAATTTTTTAACTTAAAAAATAATTTGTCTTAATTCTCCTTTTTTTTTCCTGTGATATTTTGTCGTGAAAAAAGAATCAAATAATTTCTATCATATATGTATATATGTATATATATATATATATATCTACGTATGTATGTATGTACACACATACATATGATATGTATATATATATATATTCTATTTTTTATTTAAATCTTTGATAATTTAAATGTTATATTTATTATTAAATTTAAATCTTTGTTAATTTATTATTAAATTAGTTGGGATATATATATATATATA